TCGCTGGGCCGAGGCCAACATCTACGCCTGCGGAGTTTCCTGAGGCAGCGTGTATAAGAGGGGCCTGGTACCGCGCCGAATAGTAGCCTCATCAGCATCTTCAACCACAGTCTTCTCTACTACTCTCTACTTCGCTCTCTATCCAATTCTATTCCTTCCGCTGGTCGGTTCTTCATCATCAATAATCCCTTAACATAAACACTATTACCGACACCTTCCAACCCACCAGCCAACCAACTCAACCAACTCAACCGCAAAAATGAAGTTCACCATCTCCGCCATTGTCCTCGCTCTCTCTGCCCTCGCAGCTGCCAGGCCTCAAGGCGCCAATGACAACCGTCCCGTTCCCGAAGGCGCGTGCTGTGTCGCAAACACCAGCTTGAAGCAGGATGTGTGCACTGTCAATGGACAGAGCGGCCGATGTGTCCCCGACAGCGTCAACAACTGTAAGTACCCCAGATATCATGATCCATAAACGAGCCTTCGGAGCTAATCGCAACACATAGGCGGCGCCCAATTGACCTGCATCGAGGACAGCCGATTGAACTGCGACCCCAACACCCTTGAGAGGGGCCGCCCTCTCTGCCGCCGCATACAGGGCGCGTAAACGATTGGCGATTGGTTTCGAGTTTGGGAGAACAGTAAATGTGTTTATATTATAAAGATCAGTATGAATTGGGTTGGACTTAGTAGTGGTGAGAGGGGCTGTGGTATCCAGGTCCGATAGTGGTACAGGCTACATCGGCTGACAATGAAGATGCTGTTTCACCTTGTTGGTTCTTTCTGGGTGTTTTCGTGACGATCTGCTGTAGTGTTTGTGGACTTGGAGGTTGTGAGAATTTCCGATGAGCCTCTTGACACTCTCGTATAGTTCACTGGCGTTCTCTTCATGATCTAGTACGAACTCGCGACAAGTCGATATGAAACAATTTAGCTGCCAGATTGCTGCTTTGTTCGTAATTTCCTGAAACAGCGAATAGTATTGCTATATAGCCGTGGGGGTACGTAAATATATGCATATACACTGCATTGTTGTTCATCCCCAACCAATCTTCACTGCTCCCTGGTCACTTGATACACATCTTCTGCTTCACACACGTGTACGCTGCATAGGTTCCTGCTGCTAGTTAATACCTACGCATCCTTATTCTTGCTGTGCATTAGCCCCGACTGTTCAGTCCGTCTATCCAAACGAGAATCAACTCCGCAAGGAACAACGATAGCACATCAAGATTTCTGCGACAATCAGACATGCCCGGTAACTGGATCGATGGCCGCATATCAATACGCCTGGATGATGCTCTAGCAGCTGCAGATCGGCATTTGGCAGAAGATAACGAGCCTCAACGGCCTGAGACTGTGCGTGACGAGTTGAAGGAGCTGTTTGGAAGCACTGACCTGAGGAGACTTTCTTATCGGCCGCAACCCCACTCATCTACTTTCGCAGCACCTGAGATGTTGCCCAAACCAATTCCCGAAGAAGAGGATGTTAGCTTCCAGACTCTCATGAGCAACGCAAAACGCGTACTGCCCAACAGAGTTTGGGCAAAGCAGGACAGACTTGGTAGAGAGCTGACACGCCAAGGCATAAGATTTCTCACATTGGTAGATGCTGCGGCCTGTTTACCGAAGAAGCACTGGTCATGGACTGTAAATGAGGCAGTTAGCACACTATACGCAATCAAGGATCGTTGCGGAGAAGTAATGGAGAGCCCATGGTATCAGAACCTTAGTGACACTGATGGGCTGCACGAGAAGGCCAGAATCCTTCATCTAACACATAACGCTAGAGCTTATGTGTTAGTAGTTCGACTTACCTTCCTTCTCTGCCGTCTGGAAGGCAAGCTCATGGCTGAGGTCGACGCTGATGTGGAACGCAATACTTCGGCTCTCGGCGTACCGCCCAATTTCGATATCTTCGATGAGTTAGAGCAGCTGGAACTACGCATCAAGACGCATCAAGACGCATCAGGACGAGTGTTTAGAAGCTTTCGAAGACTGTGCTCCGATGGAATGGCGAGAGGAACCGATCCCGGTCGAAAAGGTATCAGCTCCTATAGAAGGTCTCACTGATGCCGACTGCGCCGTATGCCAGGACACGCTTACACCACCAGGCGTGGTCACAGAATGTCAACACAGCTATTGTCGCATTCATTCGGAGCAATGGATTCATGCTGCAAGGGGAAATAGGCATCTATGCTGCATCTGTCATACGGAACTCTTCCCAAAGCCCAGCTATCGGATTAAAGATCCAGAAGATGGTCGCAACTACCAACATGAGATGGATTGGTGGGAAAAGGCGCTGAGCAACGTGTGCGTTGTAAAGCATTTGGCGTTATGGCTGGAGCGAGAGCAAGAACTTCAAATCACGTACGAAAGAGAGACGGTATAAGTGCATTCTGTCTTCGGAGCGACACTGGGAAGCCGTCGGGTTTTGTGCATGATTCGGCGCCGGAAGCAAAGTTTTTGTCTTCATGGCTTGACCGAGGATGACCTGAAGTACAACAGACTATTGATAGGAGCATCTGTCAAGGCCGAAATAGTTCATGTAGTGAAGTCGGTATGCTTGATGGGATGATCATGAGGATGAACACCATCGCGGAGGAGAAGTCTGTGACCGGCATGATTGTGTGTGTGTTGTGGAAGCAACGAAGACACTGCAGTGCGGTCAGTTTATATACTCCCCCCTTTGACTTATCGCTGTGTGCGCGGAATTCGAAGCCTATAGTTTAGCATCGCTATCCTACAGTACTGCGATAACCTAGAGGCGACCTAGAGACGACGAGCTAACTACACCTCCCGCATTCTATACGACTTATACGCGAGGAGATACTCTACGAAGAGAGAAGTATCGCATCTCCAAGAACCTTTGATGACATGCGTAATGAAGCTGAATAGTCGGGAATGGGTCTGTGCCTACGGTGTTGCAAGAAGGACCGAACATGATTTGCCGTTCGTCGACTAGAAGTTTCCACGTCTCGGCGGTACTTCCATGGGAACCCGGATGAAATGCAGAGTAGCGAATGTGCAGGAAGTTCCTACGGGTGTTGGTTTGGCGGCTGTTCAGCTGCGTTCTGTGACGCGTCAGGCTCGCGTTCGTATGACGTCATCGACTGCGATACTCCGCCGGTCACCCGGTATCCCTACGTAAGGTATCCCTACGTGAAACGCCAACGGTGCTAAAAATTGGAGAGATCATCTGGAATGACAGCTGACGGCTGGGCAAGAGGCTCGTCTGTCAGAGCAAGGAGGAATACAGAGTGTTGATGAGATTGTTCACCGTACATTCATTGATGGATGCATTGCAGGGTTTCTGGTAGCGCCAGGGGCTAATCGATAACGGTCACCTCGGGAACGCGACACTTATTTCTTAACGGTACCTGCTTCACACGAGGGCGGTCCCACATTCAAGACTGGTTCAGCGTGCGCCCGTGCAAGACATTACTGACATAACGGCTTCATTCCCGCTCTCCACCCCAACCCTGAAAACTCGAGCAAAGTTGTAAGTCTCATGCAAAGCGACATCGGAAAGCACCCTTCCAACGACAAAGTCATGTTTTCGTCAACGTCTTCTTTATTCAACAACGCGGATGTCGGCGGCCGCACGAAGAGAACAGAACCAGGATATCCAGTGCGCGTTTACCCAATTGACAGCAAGCCCATAGAGTAAGTTTCGTCTACCATAGTATCATCACTTTGAGTTCAACATAATTGACAGCAACCTAGATTGAGCGAGGAGTTCTGCAACGTTAGTCTACCGAATGTGCCTTTCTTTTTGCACGTTCTTAACAGTAACAGGAGCTTTGCTCGGATGTACCGCTCGATTCAACAGGCCGATTTCAGGATCGTAACGCTGTCACCGAGAAATTGCAGCGAATGAGACCAGACTTTGCATCCATAAATGTGACTTCGGCCGTGTCGAGGTATGTTCCTAGAAGTGGCCCAAGTGGTAATCAGGCTAACACAGGAGTAGTATCGAGATCATAAATGTCGAGAGACGCTCAAAGCCGTGCGCACAGCCACCGACAGCCGCGCAAAAAGATGAGCAGATTTCAGGCTTAGTTACTCCACCAGCGGATGGTAGCTCTAATGCAGCCTCATCATGCTCATCGTCAAATGACTCGGAACATACCGAATCAGATTTCGTCTCTGCTCAAGGGGATGACGAAGCAACAGTAGCGCAAAGCCTAATCACTGAATCCAATATGTGGAGCGTTGTTGGCACATCAGTACCAAGTTCCAAGTCAAACTCTCAAAATGAGGCATCACTATCTATTGTCTCACCAGAAAGAGCACAGAAGGCGCCTTTGTCGCAGCTTCCACCGTTGACTCTTCCCCCAGGTGGGTTTAGGGCATCTGATAAGTTATTGTCGGAAAACTTCGATTTCACATTCACTCAGCCTTTCAAGCTCTCAAAACCAGGCTCGACCACAACGAAACGTAAATCTTCATTGAAAGAACATACAAATCCGGACGCCACCAGGTCGGAGTCATCAGCGCAGGATGCTGCACCGAAGCCGTCACCACCTCCCTATCCTTCAGCATCATCTTCACAGGCTCGGCCTGCCAACACACTCGCTGCATCTAGCGAATTGGTTCTCCCTAAACCTGCGCAAGATCAGCCCTCAGCAACTATTGCCGAAGAGGATAAGCCCCAGATTCGCCACACTCCATTACAGAGCGTTCCGGGCCCGAACTCACGACCGACTGCAGCTTTACCGGCCAGAAGAAAACCAGCAACACTCACAACATCTGGAAACCCCGCACCGCAAGCGCCAACGACGCAGTTACCGGCCTCGTCATCCTCTATATCCCGCACATCAGCGAAAGCCCCCACGATGCAAGCGCCAGCAACGCAAGTTTCGGCAATGGTTTCTAAATCATCGGGGCCTGCATCTTCATCGCTGTCGCAAGCCCTCCCTAAGACAGCGTCTCCAGTCCCAAAAAATGGTGCTGCAGAGAGTAGTCGTACAGTCTTAGCATCCGGCCAAGGAGCTCGCATGGCTCAGTCATCCAGCTCATTACCGCTACCAGTGAAGGATGATCGACAGAATTTTGAATTGGATCTCAATCTCATGGACAGTCTCGTCCCGAACAAGTTCCAATCTGATAACCCCGATGCGACTATCGAAGGTGTCATGAGAGATATTGAGCACGCACCGTTGCTATCGGCCCCTGTAGTCGCTCAGCACGCGAAAGACTTGGTCCCGCAATTCGGCTTCATGGGTAATCACCGGGATGAAGCAGGACATGCCGTTAAGCTGTTTCACAACACTAACGTGCCTTTGTCCGCATTCATATGCGGTGTTCAAGGAAGTGGTAAGAGTCATACTACAGCTTGCATGCTCGAAAATGCTTTGATCCCATCCAAGCACCTCGGCCGCTTGGAAGCGCCTGCTTCTGCACTAGTCTTCAGCTATGGAAGTTGGAGCACCGGTGGTGCAGGCTTCAGCGTCAGCGAAGCTGTCCATCTATCTCGTGCGCGGTCCGCTTTTCCTGGGCACAACGTACGAAGAATTACTGTGTTGGTCTCCGCGCACAATGGAGCTATCGGAAGTTACTACGAAGATCCGTCTCGTAACATCCGCGTGATTCCCTTCAAACTCAACGCTAGGGCTCTCGACATCGCCGGTTTGCGTGCTTTGATGGGTATTGGAGATAAGAGCCCCCCACTCTACATGGGCCAGGTCGAAATGGTACTCATGAAGATGTCTGCCACGAACAAAGATGGGCGACTCGATTACAAGTCGTTCACCAAGGCAGTTCAGAAGATAGATCTAAACGAAGCACAATCGCAAGCCCTCAAACAACGTTTAGCGATGCTTGAGTCCTTCCTCGATCTGGACGGCAAGGCGGTGGAGCCAGATTTCCTTCCAGGCGAGATGATCATTATGGATCTGTCCGATGCCTTCATGTCATCGAGCACAGCCTGTGTTCTTTTCAAGCTGGGCTTGGACCGCTTTCTGGAGTCTCCCGTCAAGAGTAAGATGGTAGTCTTGGACGAAGCGCACAAGGTACATGCTACAGATTCTTGGCCAACGAGCTTTTGCTAACGAAACGCTAGTATATGTCCGATAGTCCAGGATCCAAGTTTCTCGCAGACAGTCTCCACCATACCATCCGTGTGCAGCGGCACTTGGGTACCCGTATGATCATCTCCACTCAAGAACCGACCGTGTCCACAGATCTTATTGCGCTTTGTAACATGACCGTCATCCATCGCTTTTCGAGCCCTACCTGGTATGCCGCGCTCAAGAGACATATCAGCGCGCTGGGCGATGACGACAAGGCTCTCATGCAGCGGATCGAGGGATTGGAAACTGGAGAAGCGCTTGTGTACTGTCCGAGCACTGTACTCGCGAAGAATGACGACGGAAGCTTAGTGAAGGCTACGGGCCGATTGCTTAAGGTCAACATCCGGAAAAGGATAACGCAGGACGGCGGCGAGTCGATCATGGCTGTGTGATTGGTTGTGTAAATTCTATGGTTGTACTAGCGTAGTTCAGACATGGCTTCCGGGCGTTTTTGGCAGATCGTATAATTATGGGAATGTGTCACAGAGATCACAGTCAAAATAGGGTGTGGGGATATTGAATGGCATGCTAGTTGTGCTTCTATTACCTTTTAATGGCGAGCCGTGCTACAAGTAACATTTCTACTCCCAGCGTGCGATTCAACGGCCCATGGTCCACTGGTACTGTTGCGTTTGGAATCGTGACTTGATATCTCATCGTCTTGATGGACAGTAGTCTTAACCACGATACGCCCGGCATTCTTCGCAAGTTCCTCCTGGCTGCTGTGCGCATCACCCCAAAAGAGATCTCGATTATCGCCTTGCGGTCGTATCGATGAGCTGACTACACTCTTCATTCTTATGGTATCGGACGCTTGTTTGACATAACCTTGCGCGTTGTAGGACGGTTTCGACGCGTTCGAGCGCTTGCGAACCAGGATCGCAAATGCGGGGGAACATCCGATGATGACAGCTAGGTATACCGTTAGTTCAGATTACAATTGTCAGGTCTCCAAACAGAGCATACCCATAGCACACTCTACAACAGTCCAAAGCAACAACCACTTAGGCTCAGGTGTAGTCGCTCTGCCACGATCGTCGACTCCGAGTTGTACAACACGAAGCGTGGCGAAAGCGATACATACGAAGCCGCTGCCGAACAGCACGAAGACACCAATCTTCTGTTTGCGTGGTAGTTGGAGGTTCCAAGTCAGTCGGATTGGTAGAAACATTACTGTCGCTGATCAGTATTGCGTGGTGTAATGTTAGAGGCTATTTCAACATACTCGCGAAGTCGGTAGCGACGTCTACCGAGTATGCGAAATAAAGACTGAAAATGATTCTGTCGTTCTCATTTGGGGTGCCAACACATCTGCCTTGCGCATATTTGGTCTTCAGATCATCGCACGTAAAAATGCTGCTGAAAACGCTGCCAATCCATGACTTTCGGAAGTAAGCCTTTGCATCCTGGACACGAAACCGATGTGAGAAAGAATGACTTACGATCATACAAAACGAGACGATAGCCCACCATATCTTCTTGTACACACCAGGAAGACCGGTCAGCAGTTTACGGTAGAGTGTCAACAAAGACATCTTAACCGAAAAAAGAAGTGTGTAGAAGCACATCTGGCCTGCTACGATGAGTTTTATCATAGCCGCAGTATCTTCTATCATTGTCGCGTAGGGTTTGGCCTGGCCTCCCAGGACTGCGAACACCCGGAACATAGGCCATACTGCCATCAGATAGCATGTCCACATTGAGACGAATAAAGCGAAAGCAAAGTAGATGAAGAAGTCCGAGAGCTCGAATGATCGACGTTTCAAAACTTGGAGCGTGATGCGAGAGAACACAAATGTTGATGTCAGGACGAGCATGGCGGCATTTGCACGCACCAGCTCGTCCCTCGTGATAGGTGTTTTTTGGGGTGCGGACATTCGAATTGAGGCGAAATCGATAGCCAAATGGATTTACAAGTCCTGGAGAGCATCGTTCCAATCGAAATACAAATGTCGGGGGTTCTTGGAAGACTCGGAGAGCTCTGCGGCGTGGTTCCCGGGTCCCTGGGACAGCCAGTATCAGGAATCAATGGTACCTGATGATGTACGTTGGCCAAAACCGATAAGTGGACTCCTTCCTCAAGGGCGCTGAATGTCACGGGCAAACCCTGTCCATGTTTGGGCTTGCCGTCCCAAGCATCCTACGTCGTATGTACCCGAAAATGCGATGCGATCTAGAACACAAGATCTCAGGCTCATGAACAAAAGCTTTCTTAGGCTAACACCGGCAGAATGAGCCGATTAGGCTGGTGGAAGAGATTACTGCGGCTTGTTACATTGTCCGCGTGTGGGCCCTAGGAGCGACCGTATTGAGCGTATGTAATGAGGATTGTACCGCGTATCTGTGTAGGGCTTCCGACCGGTGGCGGCCTTTCATTTTGCGCTCAACGCATGAAGGAAGCGAGAAAAACTTCCCCAGAAAGGTAATATGTCCTGGCGGATGGGATGACACTTGCGATGGCGTGTCTGGGTTCTCATTAACCAGATTGCTGGATCTCTATTGTGGATTCTATTGGCTACCTGGCGTCCAAATCACATACTGCAGATGTAGAGTGCGGGCCCATCTGGGCATGAATCCATTGAAGCGGGAACCTAAGGAACTCAGGATCGTTGCGAGGAAAGAGAAGCAGCTAAGTGGTGCCGTTCATCAGTTGCTATTCCGGCAGCTGACCAGTTGATGCATCGTTGATAATGCCTTCAGATAGATGGTGACGCGATACAGGCATGGGATCGTGGTGCCGACAACGTCGTCCATCCTCGGACGGCAGGCTGCCGCCTCGCCGGCCAAGCGCCGCTTGGCGTTCAGGGTCCCGCATGTGCACATACCTGCGCCAAATGCCGCACCCGTGCACCAGCCGACCGACTGCCCGCGTGAGTCCGCCCAGATCACCCGCCATATCGCTACCAGGTCTCGCCGAAGAGGTTGGTTCGTGGATTCGTGGACACCGTTCTCTCTTGCCACGGTATGTAGTAGGACGTACGCCAGCGCAATGAAGCAGGTAGATACGACAGAAGCAGTCGGGTCTGCCGCCGCAATATAATCTATGCAAGCGAGCCGTGGGTACAGTAAGGGCTCCCTTCCCGTAGGATGGCTAACTCCGCCGCGTCCCAAGCTCGAACTTTGCCACCGCCGCACGTATACTAAGTTTCGCATGCGGCAACCCTAGTATTGAGCCATTCACAGCCAGCAACGCAGTCATGGAACTTCAAGCGAGATGAACCGCGCATGCACCTGGGCACGATGTGCCAATAGTGGTCCGCGGAAGATCTTCCAGGTACAGAATGATAAATTGGGCTAATACTACACCGCAATACTTTTGGGTATCTCGATCACGCCCAGCATCGTTCATTCTTTACGAACAAAGTCCAAGATGAAGACCTTTCTTTCGCTTGGCGCCATCGTGGCAGCCGTTTCAGCCCAGAATGGAATCTTTGAACCCGCAGACTTCAATATCACGGAAGCCTTGATATCCAACGGCGTCAATGTCTCAGCTATTCCTGAGCTCTCTGGTCTGGTGGAACGAAGTGCATCAAGCGGTTGCTCTATCGCTGTATGTTTTGAACCGAACACTCCGCTCATAACCTAAAGTACTGACTGCTTCCCAGTGTTCCTCCCTGAAGCTGATATATGGTGGCGACAAGCTCCTGTCCGAGGAGACGTCCGCCTATGACGCCTTTACTGGCAGTTATTGGAGCATTCAACAGGGAACTGTGAACCCAAGATGTGTCTTTAAGCCATCTAACACGATCGAAGTGTCTTCGCTAGTTCTTCTCTCTCGCCTAACGCAGTGCCCTTTCGCTGTAAAAGGTGGTGGCCATGCTGCTTTTGCCGGAGCGTCGAGTATTGACGGCGGCATCACCGTCTCGATGGAGCGTTTCAATCAAGTCGCAGTGTCGAATGACAAGAAGTATGCCAACGTTGGAGCCGGAACTCGCTGGGTCGATGTCTACAAGGGTGTCGAGAAATCTGGTGTCAGTGTTGTTGGAGGCAGAGTAGGTTGTTCGCATTCACGTGTGGGATACAAAGGCTAAAATGGTTTTAGATGGCTCCAGTCGGTGTTCCGGGACTCGTTCTTGGTGGCGGGATCTCTTTCTTCTCGAACAAGCTGGGATGGGCATGCGACAACGTTGCTAGCTATGAGGTTGTGACTGCATCTGGTCTCGTTGTCACCGCAAGCCCAACTCAGTTCGCTGATCTGTACTGGGCTCTTCGCGGTGGCGGTAACAACTTTGGTATAGTTACTAACTTTAAGCTCAACGCCTTTCCCCTTGGCAAGATGTGGGGTGGCCAACGCATTTTCACAGAGAATAACTTCCCAGCCGTCCTCGATGCTATCTACAAATTCGCTACTGTCGGCTCTTCAAAGGATACCGACGCTGCCGAGATCGTATCATTTGGCAACTACCCAGGGATGGGTAAGATCGCGATCGTTCAGACTCATTACGCCCAGCCCATTGCCAATGCCTCCGTCTTTGATGATATCAACGCTCTTACGCCTGTCATGGACGACACGGGGATTGGCTACCTCAGCGACCTTACTATAAAGATGAATGGTGGATCACCGAACGATACGCTCGGCTCCCTCCAAACCCAATGGGATGCCACATTCAAGGTCGATCGCGAGCTATTCAGCTTCCTTGTCAACACCTTCTACAGCCTCATCCCAGACGTACAAGATCTTCAAGGCGCATTCCCAACAATCTCAATCCAGGCTATCACTGAAGGTCAATTGAAGGGTATGCAGAAGAACGGTGGCAACGCCCTTGGTCTTACGCCCGCTAAAGGCCCTATCTTCATCATGAACATGAGTGCATCATTCGCCAACGCAGCCGATGAAGCAACTATCTTGAAGTTCCTATCTACGATCATTAAGAAGGTCAAAGCAGAGGCAAAAGCCAAAGGCGTGGACAACGACTACATCTACATGAACTACGCGTCCCAGTTCATGGATCCGATCGCTAGTTACGGAGCGGCGAATGCTGAGAGACTGGTCGGTGTGAGCAAAAAATACGATCCCGCTCAGGTATTCCAGAACTTGCATCCCGGCCATTTCAAATTGAGCAAGGGAGCCCCGAATCCGAACATGCCATAAGAGCTTTCGTGTTGCGCAGCTCCATCTCAAAAGTAACACTTTAAATTTTAATACATCACTATACATTGTATTCGGCTCATTGCACTAGGTGACCACCAACTTTGACACTTTCATGACAACGTTGGATTGCTTCATCAGCGGTGGATGAAAAGATGAACACCCTCACATATTGACGGGACGAGCTCTTGGTCAACATTTACTAATTAACCGATCATGTATGTGAGAATATGCCGCCCCTATTTGGACGATTCATTTGACAGGGCATCGCCTCTGCGGATGCGATATGGAAGAAGTTTACAGCATGGGACTTGGAACAAGCCGCCGGGCCCCACTGTATATTTCAGGTTCACTGACTGCTGAACTAACAAAAGCAATCAGCTGTTGAACCAGTCAACGCCCCTAACCATCTTATCGCATATGTAGCCAGTGACAAGCGCATATGTCCCCTTATGCAAAATGTCAATGACCTGCTCGTTGATCGGCCACGTCCACGGAACCATTGACACGTTCGCCGTGGTCTCCATCAATTGATCCAGCATGATGCGAATACCGGTGTGCATGAAGACAGCGACCGGTCCGATGACGCCGTAGTACGACATGGCCGCTCTGAAAGGTCCAGCAAGCATGCCCATACCGAAGTGATGAGCATGATTCAACAGGAAGGTATGGCGCTGGTAGAATTCTGGCGAGACACCCATGTGGTTGCCCATCGTTCGCGCGGGTACGTAGGAGTCTGGACGGCCTGTGAAGAACTGTTCGACTTTGTTCGATCCTGACATGCTGGAGACAGTCAGGCATTTGCAGAAAGATGGTCAGGTGGCGACTGTCTTACACTAAGGCTCCTACGAAGCCGGCTCCGATACCGATAGCGACCGCGCGACCGAACCCGACCTGCGGAAACTTGGGAAAGCTCGATTTCGCATCTGGATACGAGACCGTGCCGGTCGCGGTGTGGTATTGAGGCATGGCGACTATGATTTGATGGGCAGTGAAAGGAGAGCAAAGGCTGTTTGGAGGAACCTGAAGTGAAGAAGTCGGATGTTAACCCTTCGTTACTGTCTGGTATAATTATCTGACGTGGATGTTGCGACACGGGGTTGTCGTGAGTGACCAATGATTTCGTCTAGCTTTGTTCATTTTGACGTCACGCATCCTCCAGTATCCATACCACGCGACATCGCTCGAAAGCATACCCAGTGACGCGTCATTTAAGTCTTCATAGATAAATGTAGTCGTCCGGACAGATGATATCTGAAGTTTTTGTCCCGACCAGTGTGTCATCTTGAGCGCGACGTCACCGTCCATTCTCAAAGCTACCGCAACACATGCAACGAAGCCCAACGCATTGCGCGAAAGAAGGCTATATCTTCAGATTTTGCAAATAACTACTGCAGGACATCTTTAGATGGAGATGAAAGAAATCTATCTAATATGCTCAGGTCATGAATTCATCATCGCATGACCCCAAGGCCATAGGATATTCCAAACAGCAAAATGCCCCAAGTAAATATTATAAACATACAGCTACATGAGAATCAACCTTCCCAATTTGTGTAGACCAACCATTCTTCATCCCACCAATCGTAAGCGACCGTTGCCCTGCGCTCGACTTCTGAGCGTTACACGTTCGGAGGCATTCCCATTTTCTCCTCCAATCTCCGGATGACCTCGCCATGACCGTCGAGAGCCTTCTTCGCACGTTCGCGATCTGCTGGTTCGACGGTACCCGGAACTCCATGATCAACTACAACGTAATGTAGCTTCCAACGCTCCCCAGACGCATCACGGATCCTCTTCTTCAGTTCTGCATTTTCCACATCACGCTCTCTTTTGCGCGTTTCGGCCTGTTTCTTTCCCCAAGTGGCATCCTTGATAGAATTCTTAATTCTCTCCGGGCTCGATGGTCGAGGCACGATATGCTTGTCGATATCGCTTTCTAGCGTTTCGAGGGTTCGTTTGAGTTTTTGTTGACCGTTATCAGCTTCATTAAATCGTTGCTTTCGGGTATAATCGTCCATGATGTAGTGGATTTGGGTATTGATCGATACGTCGGTTTTCTTGTTTGCGGATATGCGTTGTCGCTATCGATTCGAGAAGGTAGTAATGCTTGTTGAAAGTGATTCGTATTAACGAGAGCTGTCTATCTGTACCGATGTTATGGTATTAGTATAAGGATACAAACTCACTCAAGGTTTTATAGTGCTCTCCAGTCATCAATTCTTTCGCAGTCATAGTAGCAGTCACCCAGGTCGTGTGTTTTGACTGTCCTCGTTCGATCGGGCTGAGAGAGGAACGTGTCAGTAGCGTGATTCAGTTGCCGGATGTTTGATAGAGACACTGAGTCTGCAGTGGTCGCACAGTGAAGAAAGGCTCTGGTCATTTGTTATCACCACCCATCATCGCATGGTGTTATTGCAATAGCCGTTGCTCCATCAGAGAAACACTGAGCTCATACCTTCATAACGGGCCAAGACTCAGTATGTTGGTACGCCAGTTGGGTCACCGTGCGACGTCTATTTCTTTGACACGGTTCTGCGTGGTCATGGCGTTGTGCGACATATTACACTTGAGGACTTAAGTAAGGTATGTGCTCCTCACACTAGTCTGCCAGTCAGTCATGATGCGAATAGTGTCTGACTCTTTGACGGACACATTCATACCTGCGTCGTGTCTTCCCTCGCGGCTACCGATCTATCGTCAAGATAATTCAGTCTCGTGGTCTGATCTCCGTTCACGCGGTACCTCCAGCCATATATCCATAAGATAAGTCACATCTATTGCATTAGCCATAGAAGAGTCGGCGGTTGGACGAGAGGGTTGATGTTCAAGTAACGGGAAGAGCTGCCGATAGCAGCCTACGGCGTTGATGTCATCGTATGTGAAGCGCCTTCTGCACTAGTACGTGTTGTTCATATCCAGGTCACTTCCTCACTCACCCACTCACCAAGCACCAACAAACAACAGCTTCCAAGCCACCACAAGCACTCCAACCGCGTCTGCCACAGCGAAGTGCAAGATGTCGTCGTTTCTTGACCTGCCCGCGGAATTGCGCAACCAAGTATACGGTTACATTGCTATACCCCACACAGCACCTCTCTCCTCCTACATCGGGCTCTACCTGTCCTGTCGCCAGATCCGATCTGAAATGGACAGCGAGTGCGCCAGAATATTACGAGCCTACCTCAAAACCTTCCAAGATCAGCTCCAAGTCGCTTACCTCGACATACCCGAGACTTTCGCGCAAATGCAGCACGTCCACCTGCACGTTTTACAGACAAGCGACTCAAACCTCGACCGACGGATCAACAAACTCACGGCTATCTTCCCACTCCATCTCGCGAGCCTTTCAATCATCTATAGTTTTGCAGAAGACTTGCCTCTCTCGCATAAGTTGGACCATTATGTGCTTTGGCTTGCCGATGTAATAACGGAGCATCTCAAGACAAGGGTGGTCAACTCTCAGCGGGTTAGAACAGTGTCCTTCTGGGCCTCGGAAGAAGATGCGGAAGATTTTGTCTTTTACTATCCAGACTATGAGTTTGTCACCGCAAATTGGACCTTCTTATGGGATGTGGGGCTTGACGGGACTCTACATGGCGTGTGGAAAAAGGCAGATAGCAAGAGACGCAGCGAAGTGCCAGCGATTGATACCATGGTTTAGTATTCGAGCTTGAGATTGGAACGGATAGCGAATGAGGGTGCATGTTTCGTCATACATGCGATTCGTACAGAACGCACCGATCAGAGCGAGAGGCCGTGGTATTTGACTTGTCACGAGGGCGTCCGAGCAGTGAGAAAAAGAGTGGTAGAGCTATACACGCTGATGAAGATGTCTTCATAGGCGCGAGTAACACGTATTCGTAATCTTAATTCTATACAGATTGCGTTTCATCTCAGATTCCACGATCCTTTCCCTGTTGCAATGCGTGCTTCTCATGCATCTAGACACCCCAGAACTCAATGTTCATGACCATGATGCTCATGCCCGGCACCCTTCTCCGCGAAATCGATCTTCCACCCTTTGGTAATAAACACCCGCGGGTCCCTCACCACCGCATACGCAGCCTTCTTACCCTCGGCAGCATGGAACTCAAGCGGCACAGGCTTCTTCCTCTGCGTCTCCTTCTCACCTTCCTGCATGACGACGACCTCAGACTTGTCCTTCCACGCCTTGGGTGCGCCGACAATAATGATCTTCTCGACGCGCACCTTCTCCATCGTCTTGAGATACTTCTCGCACTTGACAGTACGTTTGCTAGAGTCAAGATTGGAGGAAGTGAGAATCTGGCGGGTGCCGTCGAAGGAGAAGCGGCGGTGGATGAAGGCACCCATTTCGTAGTCGAAGGTCTCGCCGTCGTCAACGTACAGAGTACCGGCAGCGTTACCGTCTTTGTCGAGAGCGATGACCAGAGTGAAAGGGTCGTACTTCATGAGTCCAGAGGAACGGCGAGGACGGTCGCGGCGTGGAATGACATGGCCGCCCTGCATAAGAAGAGGAATCTTCTCGAGAGGAGCTGGTACAGTGTGGTGCCCAGCGCCGCTGTAAGTGGTGAAGTCAAAGTAGTCGTAGTAGGGCTGGTCGTCCGCAAGGTAGATGGAGACACTGTCAGCACCTTCCTTTGTGACTGGCTTGGCGAGAAGACCAGTGGAACCAATGTAGAGCTGGTCGTCGACTTCGAAACCGCGCTCGTCGGCAGGGTGAACCCAGAAGTTGGGTCGGACGATAGGGGCACCGGTGGTGTGAGCCTCATGGAAGGCAGTGTACCACGCAGGTAGGAGCTGGTAACGAAGACGAAGGGCCTGAGTAATGATCTCCGTGTATGGAGAGCCAGCGACGTACGGCTCACGACGACGAGTGTCAATGTGAGCGTGACCACGGAAGAATGGGTAGTAGATACCAGCCTGGTACCAGCGAGTCAAGAGTTCTTTGCTTGGGTTACCGAAGAAACCTCCTACATCCGCACCACCGAAGGGGAAGCCAGAGATACCCTGGTTAAGTA